ATACAGTTGAGGAACATACTGGATTGTACTTAGTACGGAAGGGTTCAGTTGCTCTATTATTTGAGTAACTGTCTTTGCACAAATTAAGAGTAAGACTCAACAACATTTGTAAGATCTGTCCAGTTTGGGCAACTACCAAGTGACCTGAATGTGGTACACACATCACCCTACTGATCATGAGTGAACAAAATAATTAGCAACAACCTTTACTCCATTGTTATAACGAAATCCTATTTTTTTCTAACTGCCTACTCAGACATCTATATCAGCGGGTATATAAAACACTATTAACTAATCAAAAAATGTAACTGTAGTGCATTAATTAAAGTCTTACCCTGTCAAAGATTGAAAATAGCTCTTTGACAGGTGATGACAGAGGTAACTTGTAATGCATTGCAAAATCCTTCAGTGAAATGCGACCATCCTTATCTGAATCCAGGACCACAAACCTCTTCAGATGTTCCTTTACACAGTCCAAGTTTATTCTAAAGAGGAATGAGAGACAAAGTTCTTGAGGTGCAGAACTTGTCATGCCGATCTATCAGCACAAAGATGTATAACATAGCCTGTTTCATAGTTTTGACATAAATAATGTCATCTTCAAATATTCCCCTTTGCTGATCGACTTAGTGAAAAGGCAATCAACATTTCAATCCACTTCTTGATGTTACGGTTTAAAGCCTGGACATACGGTGCAGAAGTTTGTGCAATAATTTGCCCGCACCTGTGTGTCCACCCAACAATGCTGTGCCAAATATTGCAGACCGCAGTAGAAGGAGATTGTACAGGGCAAGCAAGGCTCTCTTCTTGTCTAGACCTGTCTACATGTAGGTCATGTGCTGTGCCTAATCATGAATCAATAATTATAATTAACAGAACTATCTTTCATACCCTAGTTTGCCTGCAGTAACCTTGAACTCAATGATGCCCGCTTCAGGTGGAAGGCCGTGTTTGACAGCTGCTGCCATAAGCAGAGTGTCCTCAAATGAGTGACCAGTCACTGGAAGATTTAAACACCTAACAGCAAAATGTTTTGAAAAATTGAAATAAATGGCTTTGAAATTTTGGCGATATACAACACAAAGTTTAATAAGTATACCGTTTAAGTAGCCATTCTGTATAAGACAGGAGGGAATCCAGGAGTTTTCTTAGGAGGGGGTGCACCACTAAGGAATGGCATTACTAACTGGTGAGGTAAACAAATTTTAAAAGCGAAAACGCAGAAGAAGGTTTCATCTCGGGTGGCAGGGGGGGAGGGTGCACACCCCCTGCACCCTCCCCCTAGATCCACCCCTGTAAGGGTATGTGAAAAAATTAAAGTGATGACAGAGCATTGAATTCTGCTGGCATTACTTTATATAAAAAATAGAACCTTAGTCTCAAGAATGTTTGACAGAATTCAAAGTTAAATTATGTACACCATACTGCATGAAACGGATGTATGTTAAAAAAAAAGACTGACCTTGAATGTAATGAACAGTTTTAGAGGAGTTTTCATTTACAAAAGGTCATCATGTTGGTCAAAAAACAAAAATGTTTGAAACATCAAAGTAAAACGTTTTTAATTTAACGATGGTTGTTGTTGTAA